TACCTACGTCTTATAAATGATACACAAACATTAAAAAGTTGCAGTTTGTATTTTTTGCGCATTTTTCCGATATTCGATTATTAAATCATGCATAATGCAATTTGAAAAGATGTTTATACAAAGAAAATTAGTTATATAAAATTATTGTTATTCCAGACATATAATAATTAATTAATGGCTTCGTATAAATGATGTAAAGCTAATTAGTATATCGAAAAAATATAACGTACTATACATAAACATTTCTATTAATGCTTACATTAACATTAAGCTAACATTGTATATGTAGCGAATTCATAACATTAAAAATCTTATTTAATCAAAAATATTATTTAAAATTAAATGCAATATAGATGGAAATTTTAATTTGTCCATGTTCTTTTCTATACATTCAATATTTTTCCATAGACAAACATATAAGCAATGTTAATTTATTATAATAATAGTAATATTCGAAGAAGGATTGTTTATTAATTTATTATTAAACAAATTTCACTAATATAATTTTAATGTTGATTATAATTATATTATACTGATTACATAGAAATAAAAACCTACATAGAGACAATTAAGCTTAAATCTAAAATGACATTTTTACATAAGTGAAACTAGCTTCTCACAGTGTTTAGCTAACGATATTTATTTGTTTGGATTTCCATGGACAAACGAACAATTATGTAATTGATTGTAATTACGCGCGCGCCTCTGTGTGTGTGTGTGTGTGTGTGTGTGTGTGTGTGCATTCGCGCGCGGCGATGTGTGTGCGTATGTACAACTCGAAATATTGAAAGTTCTTAAATTATTAATTAGAACTTGTAAAATTTTATAAATTTTAATTATACATTTTACGCATTTCTAAAATTTATTCAATATTTCATAGTGATATATTGATAAAAAGAGAAAATGTAAGTAAGTAATTTCATAAATTTTAATAGTAAAGATTGAATTTTAGTCAAATTTGTACAAAATAAAATAAAAATCATATAAAATAGAATTCCTTATAAATTATTTATAAAGTATTTATATGTTTGATACTTATCAAAATAGAGAATATATAGAATTAATAAATTCGATAAATTAACAAATAAATATGCAAAATATAGTTTAGTACATTCTAAATTAATTGTACTATTTTAATTTCAAATTACCCATTACAAAGAGATATACAAAGATATATAAAGATTTATGTTTTCAAGAACTATAACAACGTATACGACTATTACGAGTTTCTCTCTCTCTCTCTCTCTCTCTCTCTCTCTTTCTCTCACTCTTTCACTCACATTCGGGATCATTTTCTCTTTCTCTACTATGCTCTAACCTAGGCGCAGAATGTCACCTCGAGTTATATGGAGGACTCGCGAGGCTCATAAAAGAAACATGCATTGCATGTATGTAGGAGGGTCGATTTATCCCGAATGTCTATTTCCCGTGGGTCACTCCGGCAACTCTCCTTGTCTACTGAAATGCGCTGTAAAAACTTACCGATACTTTTCTACTAACTATAAATGTTCAAGCTTTTCTCTCTTTGGAAGTGAGGGTATTGATCCAAATAAATTGATTAATTATTGTAAATCATCACATCCAAAATTTTATCCAAGATAAGATTTCAATCATTTATTTATAATTTTATTTATCTTCGTTCCTCTAGTTCTTTTACATAAAATATTGAAATTAATATGTTGAAACTAACGATCTCAATCTAATAATTAGGATTATGTGGATTATAATTTAAAATAGCACAATTATATAACTATTAGTTTTAACTATTTTATTTTGACTATATTTCTCTATAATTAATATTTATCATTAATATTTCAAATATACTATAATATAATATTATTTTGTAGTTATTAAAATTATTATTATTTTTTATCACCAATATATTAGTTATTTATAATTATCGACAACAATAATTTTGAAACAGATAATAATTATATATACGGAGGTGAAATTTTTACAATAATTTATATGAAGCTCATAGCTTGAAAAAATAATTAAAACTCAATAGAATATTAATATCTTGATATGACTATATAATTATATGAAAACAACAAACTTTTATTCAATATTATATAGATGCTGAAGTTAATAATTCATTGGTAATTATATTTAAACTATCGAATAAACTATATCGAGTAACTATATAAAATGAGTTTACTATTACAATCCTTAGATATACTGTATATGTATGTGTACGTATATATATATATATATATATATATATATATATATATTGGAATTCCAAAGTATAGTCGATTTACTTAACAAAGTGTAAATTATGGTACTTGATTTTGCAACTCCAAAGCAAGTAGAGTTGCAAATTTACTAAAATCTAATGAAAGTACATTTATTGAAGATAGGAAGTACGTAGGGCAGTGAAATATAATATAATACAATGGTAACAAACGTAAAGAAAAAATACCGTAAATACGTTCTTACTAATTAATTACGTGTTAATATATTGCGTTAAAAAATGAAATAACAAAATTAATAATTTGTATAGAAACATAAGCATTGATAAGAAAAAATCTTTAAAATTCGCAAAAATTCATGAATATAATAAATTTTCTTTCAGATGTCAGAAAATTGTCACGTAAAAAATCATTTAAAATTAAACGGTAACAAACATGGTTAATAATTAATTAGATATAATACTTATATCAGAGACTACATAAAGTGTCTTAAATAAATATTAATTAAAATTGAAGTAGTTTTATTTTTACTAAAAGAATTAAGTAAGATGAAGTGTTAGTAGAATCTCAAATAATATATATATAATAACTATAAAAATTCGTATTTACTACATAATTTTTCAAAGTTTTAGAATATCAATTATAATATTCTTATTAAATTATCCTCAGAAGAATAAGTATTTTATCGATGTTAAAGAATTTGTGTTAAAACATGGTGGAATAATTATTGTTATATATTATTAATTAAAAAAGCAATATAAAATATTTCTTTAAAGCACGAATAGCAGTATTATAGATTTTAATTAGTATAAATTTATTGGCTAAAATGAACAAATATATCCTTATAGGTTGTTTTTCTAGCCAAGCAAAATAGGTAAGTTAATTATTATCAGTTCTATTGAATATGATCAAAATAGGATTCTTGCATTGCCGAATACACTTTATGACAATTAAAAAGATTCAAGTACACAAATACAATTTGACAAATATACAAAATATTAAATTTTAAAGGAATTCGTTAGAAATTAACCGAGTCATTAAACGAGGTACAATTGTCGGTATAAATCCGTTTGATTTTAATTACTTACTATGGAGTTGTTATGTCGAAGAAACTTATGTTTTTAGTCTAAGTTTTATTGCCGTAACTTCTGGGTCAGTCAGACCGAAATAGCTGAAGGAAAGATTAAGTTTAGAGAAGAAACAATAATTGCCATGGGATTTAAATGAATTGGAGCAAAATAACAACAGTGATATATTGCTTTATAAAATATTATGTATTCTGATATCATTTTCAAAAGGTTAATTAACAGTTTAAATATTTAATTTGAAGCTACGATACCATTAAGTAAATCAACTGATTTTAATGTATCAATCGTTCATTAGTTAAAAATAATAATTTATACATTGTATATAAAAAATATTAAACAAATTATTTTTGATTATTTGTTATATTATTTATGATTATTTTTTTTATTATCATTTTATAACAACGTTCTAATTAGAATTAGAAAAATCAACGATATAACATCCGCGGTAAGATTAAAACTTACAAAAATGCTTATATATATATATATATATATGCTTATATATAAAATGAAAAATTTCAATGAAGTAATTAGAATATACACTTGAATATCAATAATTTAATAATTGTTTCATTAATATACACAAAAATGATTCTTCGTTCGTGGTCAAACTTAACGTACAATATTACTTTTAGTTAAAAACAATAATAATAACGAAAGAATGATGGAGCTGTACCGAAAGTTTCTAAAAATAAAATAAACTGATATGTTTTGTTGCTAACTAAGATTTATTCCAATTACCCGAATACTTTCATTATTATATAAATAACTACACTATTTTTGCGTAATGCATGACGCATATTTCAAACATTTACCGTTTTAAACATATGTATACATATTTATATATATATATATATATATATATATATATATATATATCCTAGATTTTTTCGCTTTTATTGACTTTAATTAACTTTTTTATCCATATGCATAGTCATTAATAGCCTGGATCATTATCAAATAATACATTCCCTTATTACTTTAAATCTAATAAGTACGCGATCCCAATAAGTATACTCTATAGCTAATCGAAAACTTAAAAAAACTTCAAATGTAAACTGTTTTCACCTACTTATCGAATATGTATAATTTTGTTATTGTTTCAATTATGAATATGTCGATTATATATTCTCTTTGAACATAATTATTATCTTGAATACTGAAATATAAAAAGTGTTTGTATCACTTTATATATCATAACTACAAAGGAAAAAATTTAAATTAAATTTATATGCAAATAATAAGTAAAGCTCAGTCTCCGAATTATGCTTTCTCATCCATAGTAAATGTTTTTAATAAAATTCATTAGAAAAATAGAAAATTCATAAATGTATGTTATATAATATGTTAATTTCACATATAAGTTGCAGTCCTATTATTAGTAATTATAAGATATACTACAAGTTGATGGACAAATTAACCGATTAAAATTCAAATATCCATTAACTATCTTCTTTGATCCTAGAAAAAGCCTTCTTGTATCCTAATTCAAATAACACTCGATAAATTAGATTGTGAATTAGAAGAAAATACTTAAGAGAAAATATTTAAGAGACTATCAATAAAATACTCATTTAATTGATCATTAATAAAATTCATTTCTAATGGATGCAACGGTTTAACTTGATGTCCTTCAAAACTCAAATATTCTTTTAAATATAATATGGTATCTGCTAAGTGAGAAAGAAAAATTAACGAAATCAATACTTTTGCACATAGAGCGTCCTAAAAATGTTTCATTGGTGGTTGTCAATGAAGATGGTGACAAGGAACTACAAGAGATGCGCGACAGATACGAGGGAAAGTTGACAGCTTCGCTTTATACCAGCGTTCTTGCTGTTACCATCATTGCCATTTTGCCAACATTCATTTGTCTTTTTTGCCTTCACGTAAGTACTATATACTTATATACTCATATACTTTTATATATATATATATATATATATATATCATTAAGTGAATTTGCATTTTTAACTTTATTTGATGTTCATTTACATTTTTTCTCAGTGTTTAGGAACTTTTATCTGCTATATTTAATATAATATTTCACATATTCTATGCATACCAAGATGTAGATAATATCAAAATTTCGGACATTATTAGTTATTCGCGATAGTAAATATTACGAGAAAAATCAATCAATTAATAAATAGGACTAACGGAGTTATGACGTTTAAAATATACTTCCCTAACAAGTACTATTGAAAACTCTATGCAATTCTCATATTTATAAATAAAGTATTATAAAATCATGATCATTATTTCTGCTGTAATTTAAGTAGTTAAATTGTTTTAATAATCTTTCGCCGAATTTTTTTTTATAATTTTTCATGCTCTCATATCATATTATACGTTAATGCGTAGATTTCATATTTTCAAAGTATATCAATAAATTGTAAAATTCATAAATATTATTACTACCTTGAGTTAAATTTGAAATAGATAGTTTATATTATATTGTCAATAATTCCAAACAATTTTTTCAAAAATTTATAAACTACAAGATGAAATACAATTATTTTTCATTTTGAAAGATGGCTTTACTAATAATGAATAAGGAATAATTATTGATACAACAACGTGAAAATAAGTCTAATAAAGCATAAGATTAATTGACAATATGAACAAAAATTCCCTGAAGGGCTTTAATACTTGGCATATGCACAAGTTGATTTTGCCTGAAGGAGAATATTAACTCCTAATTCAGTCCGAAACTACATACTACTACGATTGAAGGCAACAACTTTCGTAAAGTATATTATAAATCAGTTTATCTACTTATAATTGCATTACATATTGTATTCCATATTTTAGATAACATTTTTGTAAATAGTATTGGTTGTACCACATTGCAGATATTAATTGCAGATATTCGAACCGTTTCAAAGAATACAAATAACATACATATAATATCGTGATATTTATTACTTCAAGAAACTCGAGCATGTTTATTAATTAATTATAATAATTGCAAATATACTTTTTTAAGGAATGGTAAATATGATAGAGCGTTTATAACAAAAATAGTTGTAAAAGCATTTATATCGTAACTTTCAGTATTTTCAACCTCAACCTTTATTAGAACATTGTTTAATTAACTCAATAATAAATAAGAAGCCTATAATTAATTTTAACTAAAAACGTAAATTTATGATAATATAATAATAAATAACAATGGAAATAATGAGAATAACACTAATAATGCTTTGTAATGATATTAATCCATTGGTTCATGTTAAGTTTCTTTTTATAAGCCTTTTTATAAGATGACAATACAGTAAATATTGTTACACATCCGCTGCATTTATAATTATATTTACAGAAACTCGTAATAAGAAATCACGTATCATATTCTAATTCGTTGTTATTACTTCGGCATCGACATCTCCATTGATTGCGGAATATGAAGCTGCGTGTCAATATTCTTATTTCTAGGTTACTTCCGTTACCTTTCGATGGTTCCTGATGCTCTGATTCATAATATAATGTTGCTTATCAGTATTGTCTTTTACAATAATAAAGCGCTTGATATACTGCACATTACTACTTTGCATAACATTCACAGATACATATTCTTCAAGAGATGCAAGATACTCCAATAATAAAGAGAGAGAAGATTATAAATTAGAAAGATCTTCCCTGAGGAAATTGATAGAGAAACAATCATTGGAATGGGCAATTGAGCTTAATTTAAACTTAAGAGCATCCGAAATTTCTATATTACATAGACAATAATGAAATTATCATTATCACACTGAAATTCATTCTGTCAATACACTAACAATCAAATTTAAACAATAATTGTACAATAACAATCTATGTGTATTAATTTATATTCTTAGTCGTTACGATTTTTTATATCTTTATAATTTATTATTATTATTATAACACATCCTAGTGTAGCTTCATAGTCCTATATAAGATATAAAAGAAAATTTTCAATCTTAATATACGTACTTATTGATTTATATTTTCAGATAGTTCAAAATTTAAATAAGAGCGTAAATATTTAATTACATAATAATTTTCAAATACAGTATATAATATAATAGTGGATAATGTCGGTTCATTTGGTCTTAGATAATAAATTATACATTTACATTGAGTAGAAAAGGTTTCTCCTCTTTTTCTCCTATTCGACTTTTTGTCCTCCTATCTTATCGTCCTTCTATAAAAACCAGACAAATGTTCCATTCCTCCTTATCCTTTTTTTTATTCCTGTGTCTTGTAAATAATGAACCAACAGACCGCCATGCTACTTATCATCATTATTCTGCCATAAAAAATTTTTTTTTTATCTACTCTCTCGCTTCATCAGACAAATACATCATCGCAAAATAGATACAGCATTACAATAATAATACAGTCGGTACCGTTCTATTCAATGTAATTCTAATATAACACTGGACACCGTTGGCAATTTATTAAAGTAAAAAAATAAAATGGGAAAATTGAAGAGATGTAACGTACTCTGACTAGTCTACATATTGTAATTGTAAATTGAAATTGAAGAACATTGGATAACTATCATACATCATATTCTACATATATTATAAGAAATCTATACATTATTTTATTTTATTTCTCGGTTGAATTTTTTCTCTCTCTTTTTTTTTTTTTTTTTTTTTTTACTGGGGCTTACATGAAGCTTTTTATTATTTCATTGTCATTAGTATCTCATATATTATTATTTATAAAATGGTGAGATCAATATCACGAAGAGCCTGGACCTATTTTAACAGGATATATAAATTGCGCATTATCTATGCATAATACTTACAATTGTTTATCACCTCTCTATATTGTTGTCAAATTTATTTATAATTTTTTTTTGTTTAATAAATTAATTGCCCTAGAAGAGTTCCGAAAGTCGTACCTGTTTTTTTTTTTTTCATTCCGATCCGTTTTAATAAATTATTCAATAGAATTGTCTAAGAGCCTTAGATGCCGCCTTCCCCTTTAAACTAAAAACCATTAAATTTGCTCCTATGTGAAAACTGACTTGAATGGAGATCTCATGAATCTGACATTGTCCTGATTATACATTACAAGTACTTGCACTTTAACGCACTCTTAAGTATGCCATGTAAGTGCATTATTGTAATAAATAAATAAAATTATCTTTATATAATTTTTAATAACTAGTACAAAAATTTTCAATTTAATCAATATAATACAAAAACATTAATATATTATTACAAAAACGCTAATTTTGTCATTTTGTGTAAAATGAAAAAAAAATTTTTTATATTTCCTTAAACAAATTCTACCATTTATCATACCATTTGCCATAAACTAGAAATTAAAATTATATTAATTTAACTTTATCATTTAATTAATTAATTAAATGGGTTAAAGCTAAGATAGCATTATACAGCTAGAATGGCGCGTTGTAGTAGACGTAGAAAAATTCTTAATATTTCATAGCATTATGATTGTTACATTCTTGATATAGCAACATTGTAACTATTACATAATATTTAATATTCGTTAATATTGATATGTATTATTATTTTTCTTTTATACCGTAGATAATTCGCACGTATCTTTTCCGTTCTTTGCATTAATCATTTTTAGTTACTTCGTCGCTTAGTTAATGACTCGGTATCGTATTTAATGATTAAATTTATTTAAAAACAAAGTAAAACTTGATTTTATTTCTCAAAACTCTATCAAAATTACATGAAATAGTTATTAACTTTTTAAACATTGAAATTTTTGGTTTTCTTAAATCATAATTACTAATCTGTTTAGCATTTTAACTATTGACACAACTTTATCTATTAATTCTAAAATGGTAAAATACGAAGGTTATTTCAAAATATAAAAACTATATTTGACTCGATGCATATTTAGAAATTTACTTAAAGTAGATTAAATCATAGCCTTTCTTACAAACGATTAGTGTGTTTAAATAGCATTAAATACATTTTTTAAATACTGAAACCTAAAAGTAGACATCAAGGAACTAAAAAAATATTTATTAACTAATTTAAATTAAAAGAAAATATAAATAAAATTTATAATTAAATTGATTGTTAAAATCTTTTTTATGATATTGTTCAAGGCGGGAAAAACATAACAAAATTCTTAATCTAATGTTTGCACAAATGTAGAAAATATTATATATTGTAGATATATCTTCAATGTAAAAAAAACTTTAAATTTGTTATAAAATAAATACAATGTAACTAATACATAGTTTATTCTAAAAGGCTAAACGATAATTGATTTATGTAATTAATGTAACTATTCTAACCAGTTAAATAGATGAGATAAATTATTACCATGAATTATTTGAAAATATTAATGATAAGATTAAAATATTATTTTAAATATTTGCTTTTAAATGTTGTTTTTTTTTTTTTTTTGGAAGCTTCTTAAAAATAATTTCTATCTATATTAAACTATAAATTATCTCGAGTCAAGTAAGTTGTAAAATAAATTAACTGTATTTACGTATTTAATTGTACTAAAATTTTTTACTAGAAAATTGATTAAATTATTTAATATACGTATGCAGTTCTTTCCATAAAAATAATTTCTTCGTCTGTAAATTGATATGACGAGTAATGTTTCTTTCATTTGCCAAGTCATACTATGACCGAAATCTCATATTCATTTTTTTTTTAACTTATCAAAAGCATTTTTATTCATATAATGAAATATAAAAATCTAATTACCTTTGTACAATACTTACTGTACTACGAACTATATACATTTATTTTAATGAATGATTTTATAATTTATTTTAATTGATTAATAAGGTGTGCAACGAATAGAGTTTTATCACAGATTATTTATCTTTCAATATCTATTAATTGTATTGGATTTATAAACTTCTGTTAATGCATAAACAGAATTATCGTGATAAAAAATATTAAATTATGTAAGATTACAAGTGCAAATTCTATAATTTAATCAGTAATTGTTAACTTTTAAAAATATACATTATTTTAGGCATTCATACATATTCGGAAAACAATGAACAATTAAAACTGAATTATTGCAAAAGTCATTTATCTTAAAAGTTCAAACTTGATATATTGAAAATAAAAAATTTTTCGCGTATAAAATTAAATACCTTCATTCGGTAAAACAATAGCAATATTTATCTCTATGAAATATGTAATTAACTGATGAAACTTTCCTATTATGTTATACAGTAAACTTTGTCGTGTATATGCCATTCATTTTTAAGTTAATTAACAGGTCTACTGACAGTTAAACTATGTTATTAACTAGTATATCGCCATAAGATTAATATATTAATAATAATTCATATATTTATGTATATTTATTATATATAATATATAGAAAAACAAAAGAAAAGAATATTAATCAAGTCAAATATATAATATATGTGATTATTATTATAAGAATATAACAATTAATTATTTTAATTACTTATATGACATACAGATATGCTAACATTACAAAAATATAAGTTATCCTATTTTTTTTTATATATTTTTTAGATAATAACTGGAGTAAAGAAAAATAATGACTGAAAAAGTTACATTTTGTCTTTGTTGACAAATTACAATGATCGATTAACAAAAGAATTAGAAAAAATGATACTTGCTGGTACATTTTCAAAATTTCATTAGAAAATTTTTTGTAATAAATACTAATTTATTCGACATTATTAGATTGCAAATTGCATAGTTTGCTATTATTCAGAGAATAGAGAATGCAAAAAACATGATAATGAAATAGAATTTGAAACTGTGAGATAACAGGGCTAATTAGGTTTCTCCACTCTTGGATCTTGTAATTGTAGTATTTATATATTTATATACTAGTAGTGGTAATAGCGTGTATATATATATATATATATATATATATATATATATATATATATCCTTTGAAATTATATTACTTTGAAATTATAATTAATAATATAATATCAATCATTATTACATAATTGTAATTTTTCTAAGTCTCTTATTACTGGTTTAATAATAAATTGATGTCCAAACTACGAATCCTTCATACCTGATTTCTGAATATTTTAAATTTACAATAATCAAAGATTTTTTTATTTCTTTCTTGTACAGGAAGCCCAGAATCTAAGCTCCGTATTGATGTATTTAGTAACTCTAGGGGTAATGCTATTATCTGCGATCTGTCTCTTAATCGCGACACAATTCCCTGCTAGTCTCAACTCTCATCATACTCGTCTCTTTTTTGGCCTCTTGGCCAGCACAATCCTTGGACTAGGATGTCTAATTCTTGAAGGGCCGGTACCTGTTTTTGTATCGGTACTCGCCGTCGTGGCCACTTTGCCGCGCGTGAGAGATCACAAGCCCTCCCTGTTTGGCTTTTGTCTAATAATTCTTTATGTCGTCAAAAGGATAATATGTTATTATATCTACGAAGATAAGCATCTCAAACTATACGAGGTATGTAACATTTTCTATTAATTAGAAATTAATTTGTACTTTTTAAAAAATCTTAATAAAATACGCCTGACTGAAATTATAAAATTATATCTCGTGCGACTATCCTATTTGCAACATCGATGCATTAATGAAAATCAAATTATTTATTATCTTCATGATATTGTTAGAATGAATCAGTCTATTGTGAAGAAATTTACACTTACATAATTATAAATACGTATAAAAAATATACGTATAATATGCATCGAATGAAACAATAACTTTTTAATTAATTTTTTCCTCTCTATATCAAACATTATAATTATTTAATTGTTTTATGCAATGTATTTATCGGCTAAAAATTTAAATTAATAATAAATACCAATAAGACGTTAATCTATATGCAGGTAAAGAGCGATGTGTTCTTCGTACTTGCAGCTTTCATAGCGGGCCTGTACTATCGAATTTTAACATCGCAAGCTCATCATCAAACATTTGCAAGTACAAAAACCATAATTGAATCGCGAATAAAACTTGAGTGCGAACGCGAGCAACAAGAGCAGCTTCTGCTCAGCGTCATTCCTGCCTACATTGCGGCCGAGGTTAATATTATTGTCTCTCTCTCTCTCTCTCTCTCTCTCTCTCTCTCTCTCTCTCTATTCATCTCTCCTTCTCTCCACCCCATGGATGTACATACACATATACACGAATGTATAGAAAGGCAAATACACGCATTTAACCACATACACATGATAATGTTATAAATTGTTCTTTTATTTATATTTTTATTTCATCTTATTTAATGAATATAATGCATACATTATGTTATTTTAAATTTCTTTCAAAACTTCCTTGCGCAAATAACAGAACGAAGGGTTAATAATTTTTGTAGTAATAAAATTTATAAAGCTAAAGCAATAAAACATCAATTGCCTTTAAGATAATAATTAAATTACAATTATAAAACATTTTCCATATAATTTTTGTTAAAATATTTATTAAGAAGAATATACATTTGTAACAAATATCTTAAATCGAGGAACTATTGACGAATATAATACGCGTTGTTTTGAACAATTAAAAAATTAAGACATTTAATGCAGCTAGTAAAAGAGACAAATATTTCCTTGAAATGTAGTCATTGAAAAATAGCATCTTTTGCGCAATATTTTTTTTAATACAAACATTATTAAAAATATCGATCTTTTAACCGACACCCATAAATTATTGACGAAATTAGTTTATGCATATATAAAAATAGAATATCATTGTTTAAGCATTATTAAAGTAATTTGAAAATTTTATTTATACGAATTTTAAATAAACGAAATAAATAAATCGAAAATATTTCAATTTCAAACTTTAATACAGGTAAAGCGTAGTATTATGTTGAAAATGGCAGACGCATGCCAGGAAGTTAGTAAATGCAAACAAACAAGATTTCATGAGATGTATGTACAACGTCACAATAATGTAAGGTAAGTGCAACGTATATAAATATAATCATATAAAAAAAAAAAGAAATAACGTGTATAACTTTTACTGGTTAATTTTATTACATTTTGCTTACGATAAATAGGAGGAATATTAATTACGAGATTTAATTAAATTTTTATAAGCTTTATTAATTATTCTTTTCATACCGATAACTAATGGAAAAATAATGTTGAATTGATAATATTTTTAACTTTGTTATTTAAACATTAGATGATTATTAAAATGTACTGTATATATAATCATAATTTATGCAATTAAGTGCTGAGAATTTGTATGGATTTTATTTAAAAAATAGAACATTTATTTACTAGTGTATAAAAATTCGCAGTATTAGATTAAAATTATATAAAATTAAGACAATAATGGACTAACATATACGAAATAAATACTATGAAACACCGAGGAACTATCGAAGATTTTACATTTAACATAATACATAAAAAATCTACTATTTAATATGCTTTGAAAATATGCATATAAAATTATGAAGGGATGTTCATAATAAAGATGAAGTATAGCTAAATTATAGAGAAACTTGTGAATTTGCATAGACGAATGTTAAAAGGGTAAAATTGAAAAATAAATAATAACGTCTACCAAACTCATTTTGCTTTTTTAGCATACTTTACGCAGATATTGTAAACTTTACAACACTTTCGGAGCAACTATCCGCTTCGGATCTGGTGAAAACTCTCAATGAACTTTTTGGGCGATTCGATCAAATTGCTCAGGTTTGTAAACAGCAAGGAAATGATTTGCAAACTATTACATTCTATTGAAATATGCTAAACTATGAATTGAAAATTGGTTATTTGTTAAGATAAAAAATTCACTTCGAATTCTTTTTACCAGTACTAATGGAAAGGATTCGCTTTTAAAGTAAAAAATTAAATAAAATTAACTTTCGAACGTTCATCGAAAAAAGCTTCACTTTCATTTGAAATTAATTCTTCTACTAATAATTACAATAATACTAGTGATCAATTAATAATTCTCCTAATAACATTTTAACGGGCTTAAAATAATATTATTGTTAATATAAAATTGTTTCTTTGTCTTTCCAGGATAATCAGTGCATGAGAATAAAAATTCTCGGAGATTGTTATTACTGTGTTTCCGGACTTCCTGTGTCAAGACCAAATCATGCTTACAATTGCGTTAATATGGGCTTGCAGATGATTGATGCTATACGGTAATGAATTCATTAATATTCTCATTTTAAACAAAAATAATTTTTGTATTTTTCGAATGATTAGTAAATATTTTTTCGTTTAATTGTTTATTTATTAGACATAAATTATTGATTTATTTTATTTTAATGAAATTATGCAAATTTTTACTTACAAATTAATTTTAATTTAATCGTAAATTTATTTAGGAATTTAATCACGAATTATTGAAAAATTATTGCAGAAATTGCATTAAATCATTTTAATGAGCCTTAATTTTTAAAATATTAATTATGAAAATAAAAATATTACTATTACTTGTATAATAAATAATTTGACCCATTTATTTTAAATATTACATCAACACTTATAACATATCTATTATTATTATTATTATTATTATTATTATTATTATTATTATTATTATTATTATTATTATTATCAACTAATTTAACAATTTTGAAATGAGCTTATTAAAAACAGATAAAAATCATCACTGTAATACTGAATACTAAAGTAATTATTCAAAACAAATAACACTTTTCACAAGTATTTTGTACATTATTCATAAGTGATAATAATTAAAATATAATAGAAACACTTTATAACATTTGGTTTTATATGTTATTAATTATTAAATATGAATTTACTCTATGATTAATTAATACCTCCAATTATATTATTATTCCGCTTCATTTAAGTTTGATCATTAGACTGATGATAGTTTTATTCAAAGAACAAACTCTATTTTTAATTGTCATGTTACTATTTATAGATAATCATATTTCCGATTATACTCCTCTAGAGTATTTTTTTATGTTACGATTTGAACATTAGCATTTCCTTATGATTCCTCACGCAATTTGAAATGTCATTAAATAAAGGAATTTATGTATCTTCACACTACACAATAAATAACTCTTATTAATAACATAAATAATTAAGCGCGGAAAAATATTTTATTTTAAAATAAAATTGAAATTAAATTGATAATTTTATGAATAATTTAAACTAAAATATGTGTGTGTGTGTGTGTGTGTGTTCGTGCGTGCGTGTGTGTGCGCGTGCGTGCGTGCGTGTGCGTGCGTGCGTGCGTGTGTGTGTGTGCGTGCGTGTGTGTGTGTGTATTTATAAGCTTCTTTCGTGACTTTTGAATCGAAACACAAATACGGAAAACAGAATTTTTTAAGAGAAATTAGTGATTTATTTTTTTAATATTAGATATAAGAATTAAAATTTTGATAACTATTCGATGTTCGTGCAGTTTCGTGCGTGAAACAACAGGTTTCAATGTCGACATGAGAATTGGCATCCATACCGGAAACGTCTTATGTGGAGTTCTTGGTCTTCGGAAATGGCAATTTGATGTCTGGAGTGACGATGTGACTTTAGCCAATCATATGGAAAGCGGTGGCGTGCCTGGGTTAGTACTGTGTTAATTATTTATTGAAGCTTTAAAAACTCCGGCAGATCTTTATTTAAGATGGGAACGGAAATTATGGATTTAGAAACCGCTATTAGTTAATATTAGGCAATATACTATGAATTTACACGTTTTTGTTAATAGGGACGAGAAGAAAACAAATTTGATAACATTTTATATTTTACATAATATACATTTTATACTGCGTAAAGTATATTCCTCGTTATCTTATAATTGAGAAAATAACTAAATGCTTCCTATAAGAATCTACTAACTTATAATTGAGATATATTAGTAATAATAAAAAGTAATGACAATTATCGTTATTTCGTTTAATATTACGTGGAAAAATTAAAATTATAATATATATTATCAATCAATTTACTATGAAACATGAATTAAAAATAATTAATTGCCCATCTGTACTTTTGAATCTTTGCTGATGTAATTATCATCTTTGAGTGTACTACACTATGACTCACGCACTCCGACTTTGTAATTACATTTTTAATCAAAATGATTTGATAAATAAAAACTTAAAACAGAAATTGAGATTAGAATTTAATATAAAAGAACAAAATTAATTTAGCCCTTGTATTATTACGTTATTGAATATAAAAAAAAAATAATATAAATGTAGTAAATAAACTTATGATATTTCTATAATGTAAATCAAGTAATCATTAAATTTACCGTCCCTTTCTTTAAATTAATAATTAAATTTTATATTTAAATGTAGCAAAATCAAGAATAATATTAATTTAATTGACTATATAATTATATCAGCATTTGTCTAGAATAATATAAGTCGTTTCCTTTATTTTCGTTCTTTACTAATTTACAATTTACATAACGTATCATTAAATACTAAAGTTCAAATAAACGGATAAGGTCAGTGATTGGAAATTTAAACAAACAATATTGATATATTATGCTTTAAATTACTTTGTATAAAAATTTTATCCATGATTTAATTTTGTAGTTGTGTCTACTAAAAATTCTTTATAGAAATTACTTAAATATATAGAAGAGTTCACGTGACGAAAGCAACACTTCTGCAGCTCGGCGATCGCTTTGAAGTAGAACCGAGAAACGGAGAATTTCGCGAAGGTTACCTGGCCGAGCACAATGTCGAAACATTCCTCATCATTCCACCAAAGGTTAGATCCAATCAATATTAAAGAATAATATAAAAAAAATCGAATTAATAATAATAATAATAATAATAATAATAATAATAATAATAATAATAATAATAATGATGATGATGATGATGATGATGATGATGATGATGATGATGATAATAATGATGATGATGATGATGATGATGATGATGATAATAACAACAACAACTATGGTAACAATAACAATAATGATAATTCTAATGATAATAATGGTCGTAATAGCAATAGAAATAATAATAATAATAATAGTGAGATGAAGGAGAATCGATAATGAGAATAACAATTATTATTGTATAGGTGAAAGCTAATAAACTGCTTCGAATAGAAACTGTCAACCACAAACTTTCGTTTTTATAAATTTCTGACAATCTCTTATTACATGAACTACAATTCAATACATAAAACGAGCAAATTTAAGTAATGCTTTAAAAAGTAAAACTTACATACATCATTGTGTAAAATAATTCATATATTTACACGTTTAAAGGCTTCTTAATTATGTATTATTATTTTTACGTTTACAGAAAAATAAAGAGGAGAGCGAAGGAGAGAATGACAAAATAATTCAAAGTTCAAGTCGTATACCCTCACGGTAAAAACAATTATATTCCTCACAATCAAATTCTTAAGTAAATTATAAATAGTTTTGTCATAAATGTGATAGAAAATATGTATTATATTATTTAAAAATCAATCAATATTTTTTACAAAAATTATTATTCAATTAATTCATTATGAATTCATTTAGTATTGATGGATATGTAATTATACAATAGTACAAATATTTTAATAATAACATATTTGTCAAATTTATCTGAATTAGAATATATTTTTGATAATTTATATTTTCTCTATTAATGTTAATGAAGGCATTAAATGAAAGATTTATTGCTTTATTTGTAAGAATATTGGTTGTTTCTATTAATAATATTAATTCTTTTGATAACTTATTTTTATGTTCATCAAAGTAAAAGCCCACCAGCTAACTATAAATAGCATTCAAAAGCAAATTCAGTGAAAGAAATTACTATTTCTTTATTATAAAATTTTTTCGAAGAATTAAAATATATAGTAATTACCTATACGTGAACAGTCAAATGGAAAATATTTGTTTTTAATACAAGAGCGAAGTAATAAAAAAGTTGATAAATTTATTGAAAAATTGTAAACGTACTGAACTAATTACACTTCAGAAATTACCTTGACAATTAATTGAAGAAATTACTCATTAGGTCTAGACCAAGCAGTAAAATGACAAAATATGTTGAATGTTGGGGTGCTGACAAGCCATTTGCGAATATCGCAGAGTCGACTTTAGCAAAAAATATTGGCCTCACAGTAAGTGATATTTATTGTTTGTATGGTTTTTATTATTATTGCAACGATATTAAATATCAGAAATATTAAATATTTTTACAGAGTATAGCAATGATCGAGTCAAATTTATTGATTAATAACTCTACTTGTTTTGATGTGAAGTAAGTGTAAATCTGCCCGCATATCTTATTACGAATAGAATATATAAATTCAAAAACATAATTGATCGATTTTCATTTTCATAAAAAATATTTTTACTAACATTAAGGCTTCAAATATTCTATTAAAGTAGATATCATGTTAATGATTGAAAATTATTTTAAAGTGTTTTATAATAAAAACATTAGGGTACAATAAAAATCAATAAAACATTGCGAGTAAAAGCACAAAATCTATATAATATTACTATTTTTCTTCAATTTTATAGAATAATATATTTTAAGAATAAAAAATCCGCAGCTTTTGATTTAGTATATTACTTTAAACTTCAAGCAATGAAATATATTTTTAAAGAAAATAAATTTTAAATTATAATTATATATATATATATATTTTTTTTAATCTCGTTTTAAGTCGAGTAATTTCAAGAAATATTATTTCACATCATGAATTATCAAATAGAATAATCTTTATTCATTAAATATATAAATCCACCTATCAACTTGATTTCGTTGTTTTAGTCTTAAAAAAAGTCGATTTAAAAATAATCTCCCACAATCGTAACTTCTCTAACATACATATTCTTTCCATTTTTTCACATCCGAAGAATTTTATAAATCTCAAATCAATCTCATATAATATAATATACACCTCAAGAAGTCACGTAGATGGCTCATTCTGAAATATAACGATTAGCCTTTTATTTCAACAATTTCCTTAAAATAATTATAATTATAATAATAATTAAACTTATCTTATTATTCAAAATAAATGATCCGATAAAAATTTTCAGAATGTTCAAGAGTTATGTGTTCTATTTATATGATACAAAATTAAAAATCTTCTTGAAAAATAAAATATAATTTAAAAATACATCGATAAATGTATTGTTGTAAATGTATTGGAAGTAATAATAGATAAATAGAAAAATGTATATAAATAAATTCATAAACCTATAACTACATTAATCTAAGATAAATAATTAGCAAGACTCATATTTTCTATTAATCTTTTAGAATATAATTTTATAATTCTAATGTTTTAAAATGAATATAAACAAATTTATAATTTATCAATGAGTTTTTTGTTTTATTTCTTAGAAAAAATTTGTTTCTTAGCCATTTCATGATGAAAATTGTGATTCTCTTCAGAATATAATATAATGCACCGTTTAATTAACTGCCATTCATATTCATATCTCTAGTAATAATTATGAAAGATATGTTGTGGACGTATTCATTAAGAAGTTTCTACTAATTTGAATCTTATATTTTATTATATAATGTAATAACCATATAATCTGTATCTCGGCATTTACATTTATAAATGGACTTGTTTATACTATTTATACATGTAGCATGAACAATATCTACACTCGGTAAAAACAATAATTACACTACTTATAAGCAATTTCCGTGTTTAATATTTATAGAAATTTACAAAATGTTAAGTAATCTATCGACCTAATCTTTCTAATATTAATTTTACTGCATTCAATTGAGTATTAAATTTCAGAGAAATTACATATCGCAATCTAAAGAAAAAGATGATTTCTATGATCAATTTTATGTTTTTAAGGCAAACATTGACAGTTCGAGATTTTTCTGCTAAACCAGACAGTACTATAAGTACCTAAAAATTAATGGATTATTTCATTTCTTATCTATATTGTTGATTATTTATTAATACAATCGTGCTAAACTATATTTTAAACTATATTTTCTTTCACTCTGAATCGAATAAATTGAATAATAAAGGAAATATACTACTACTACTACCGATAATAATAATGATAAAGTCTATGGCTTATAGGCAATGGTGGAGTAGAGGTGAAGTGATGTCAAACTTGACTTATTGGTTCAAGGATATAAGTCAAGAACAGCAGTATCGGGCGCAAAGAGATGAACAATATCCTTGGTACGTTCTCATCTCAACCTTCCTCTATCTGATTATGTTCTTCATACAAATAATCTATTTACCTGGGTTAGTATACATAATTCTTGTATGTTTAATTACAAAAAAAAAACGCTTATTTTGCTTTTAACATGAAAATTATTTAAAAGATAATTTAGAATATAAAATTGAAACGAAATACAGATCGCAGTCATTATTTAAACGTTTCTGAATAAAATATTAAAAGTATATGTTGCAAATTGAATCGAGAAAATAAAAATAATTTTAATGCGAGCATTAAAAATATTCTAGGTATTTTAAGTTTAATTATAGAATTTTAGAAAAAAAAAACTTATAATAAGTCTATGAATACGGAATAATTATATTGATGCAGACTCTGATAATAAGATAAATGAATTGAAAATCATACTAATATATTTTAAGAAATATAATATTTTTACTACGAAATAGCCGCTGAAACCAAATGTACTTAGAGATGTTAATTTACAAACACACATACACACACATATTCATAGCTTTTAGCCGTTTTTATGAAAAACCAAAATAATAAAATATTAAACAAAATGACGTATATTCGATGAATCTCCATTGGTTTAATTATAGTCGAAAAGTTCGATGAATTAAAATACTTTTGAAAATAACGCACTACAAATTATGTTTACTTTTATTAAATTTTCTAAAATAATAATTATTATGATTCACACGAGCTATTAATGAAAATTAATGTTTACATCATAGCAAACATTGCATTACATACGTACGTATTAACTTTGATAGAAACGTAACGATCTATGGATGCTTCGGTGCTGGAATAATCGGACTGTCAATACTCTCAGCAATTTCATGGTTTTCAAGTAAGACAAATATAAGTTATGGAAATGAGAACCACAAGATAGAACGTGTGATTCTGAGTCGAGGAATCAGAATATTTGTATATTTGATAACAACTATTCTAGCGATCTGCTCATGCGTTATTAGTCTTACCAACGTTGATTCTAAATGGGAAAATAACATGGCCACGGTAAAAAAATTTATCCGCTATTATAAATTATATTTATATAGAAAATTACCAATAAATAAGGATAAAAATTCTTAAATATTAATTTTGTACTTTTTTTCTTTTTGTACATTTACAAATGTCTCTTTCCAATAATTAGGTAATCGACTCATTAACTCTAAAATTTCTTCTCTGCGCTGTACTATACGAAATTCCTTTTTTCACGTTTTACATAATTATTATGTATTTTAAGAGTAACTCAATTTTATAAATAATAAACATTATTTATACGATAAAGTGATATGATTCGCTTACATTATGAACTGGAATGTCCGTAAATTTTACAAAGGGCTGCAATAAAAATTATATTAATATAATGATTAAATATACTTTGTATTTTAGATGTACGTAGAGTGTGCGGTGATTGCGTTGGTCGTCGGATGGACTCATCTAAGGGTAGGATTGGTCCTCAAATTCGCTGTGATGGTTGTTTCGATTTGTACATTCCTTGGTATATTTTCGAAATGCCTCGTCATCCAGGATTATTATACTGACCCGAAAAATGAGTAAGAATTGTAATATATAAATACATCAAACAATAAAATATATTTCTTATCTTTAAATACGAATATTCTTATTTCTTAATTGATGAAGTACATCGATCTCTTTTAGATGCGCAACCTATGATTAAACAAAACGATTCTAACTTTCTCTATCGAACCGAATATTTCTCTATTGATATATTCGGCTAATTGAATTATCTATCTCTATGTTTTGGATTAACTATTTTATTTATATACAAAATAAATATCTTGATATTCATAAAAATTGTTAGGCGTACTTCGTTAACATACAGATTACGTATAATTATAATTTTTTAATGAATAAATCATTTTACAATTAGAGTTTGTATAGGGACTTTTATTGGTTCAGTTTTTAAATATAGACAGATAAATCTTTCAAAAGAGCGTATGAATTGCAGATTTTTCAAAATATACTACTTAATTCAAATTGGCTTTCTCTTGGGTCTCGTGTGCTTAATATTACATGTACTTGATCGAAGAATTGAGTACACCTCGCGCACCGATTTTTTATGGAAAAACAAACTGAAAGTTGAACAAGATGAGGTTGAAACAATGAGGGGCATCAATAAGATTCTCTTAGAAAATATTCTTCCTGCTCACGTAGCTGGACATTTTCTTGCTTCGCGAGAAAATCAGGTAATAGCTTAATTATTTTATAACATCTAATCGCAAAAATAATATTATATAAACTAAAAGAAAATCATAATGTGTAATTAATTAGTGTACATAAAACATTAATAAACTTATGCCTATGTCATATAATAGTTTACATTACTTTGTTATTTCCCTTAACAAATCATGGAATGTTTAGTTTATAATTTAATTCGCAGAACATTTTTAAAAGTCAGTTTTATATAATTTAACACACATCAAAGATTTTTAGAATTGACATCAATATTAGTCTTTTAATAATTTTTAAATAAATAATACGTATTCAATTACGCGATATACTTATTTGTATTGTTACTGGCTTGTGACTGTAAATTAATGCTTTTCAGAAACAGGATCTATATCACGAAAGTTACAGCAGCATTGCTGTTATGTTCGCTTCAATTCCAAATTATAAAGAATTTTACGACGAGACGGATATTAATAAACAAGGCTTGGAATGTTTAAGACTATTAAATGAGATCATTTGTGACTTTGATAAATTGCTACTCAAGCCCAAGTACTCAAGTATTGAGAAAATTAAGACAATAGGCAGCACTTATATGCTCGCTTGTGGCCTTAGTCCCGGAAAGGAAGATGGAGATGGATCGGTATAAAAGATATTTTATTTAATATTATAAATAACGTGACGACAAGCTACTCCATTACATAATTATATAATATCTAATAATTAACTATAATTATAAAATGTAAAAAGACTAGATAAAATTTCTAAAATGGCAACATTTCGTTATTAGATCAAGTCACAAACAGTATTCTTTAATTATAGAAAATAATTAATGATGAAACATAGTGTTTAATTCAAAATTAGAATATTATTCAAAAGCTTATAATTATTGTTTTATATTGGAAGTAAATATTAGATTTTTGTAGAATATTTTGCTCTTAAATTCAATAAATATATTATTAATATATTTCGTTATTTTCTCTTCAACTACAGATTCCATGTATCAATACTAATTTTAAATCTACATTCTCTAAAATTCTAATACATATATTTTTAGTTTGATCTAACAAAAACATATTACAAAATTCCTGTTAAAAATTAAATATGTATTGAATCTCTGCTTTTCTCATTTATAATAAAATAGCAATATAACAAATATAATGATCGATCGAATATAAATCTGTAATATACAAACCAATTTGTTTTAGATTGATTTTAGCAAACAACAAGAGCACAATATTATAGTTCTTGTCGAATTTGCCATTTCTCTTATGACCTTATTAGATCAAATTAACAGGGAATCATTTCAAAGATTTAAATTAAGAATAGGTGAGTTCGATAAAACATTACTATTTCTATACAAAAACTTCTTTTTTTTTTTTTTTTTTCCATAAAAATCTCATCATAATAGTATAAAAATCAATTTCATTACAAATTATGGTCGTGATTTAAATGTAATAAATAAACATTAAAATTTGCATTTACTACAAAATGACTGCTTGTAATTTTGTAAAATATATAAATTGCTATACTAATCATTTATTCCTATTATAAATTAAAATAAATACAGAGCTTTAACTGCTTTTAAATTTATATTTTTCAATTTCGTTCCTTCATATATAATTATAAATACGCAAATTGTAATTTGTTAATTTAATCGTCCCGCATTTACGTGCATGTTCAATTGCAATGTTCCGTAATGATTCTTAAATATCCGTTTTTATTAAAATTGTTGGCGTTTCTTTGAATGTTCTGTGTAGGACTGAATCATGGACCAGTGATAGCCGGAGTCGTAGGTGCACAAAAACCTCAATATGATATTTGGGGAAATACCGTAAATGTTGCTTCCCGCATGGATAGCTGTGGCGAAATGGGTAAAATTCAAGTCACCGAGGATACAGCCAAAATATTGAAGAATGTAGGTTACGAACTTACTTGTCGGGGGCCAATCTACGTCAAGGGCAAGGGAACCCTGACGACTTATTTCGTGAAGACCCCTTTCGACAACAGAGAAGATAATTACTAATGTTTAATTGTAATTTATAGTGCATGCATATTCTACGTTAAAAACAATTACAATAAGACTTTAAGCTTCGATCATTCAATGATTTGAAAAAAAAAATATATTTATTGATTTACTGTTTTATCGAATATGATGGACTGACAACGTCATATAATTTCTTTGGATTCGTAAAGCTACAATTATTACATTAAATATACACTAATCAATATTTTAAAGAACATTAACAATAAAATTGTGTGTTTTAAAATGCCATCAAATTTGTGTTCACTTTTTAATTAAATGACTGACAATCATTAGGAAGTCGATATAAGCATGTAAAATTGTCTATATTCTTCCGAATGTAATTATAAATTGTATCCATGAGTTTTATCTAGAATTAAAATCGAATAGAACTCGAAAAAGAGTGATTAAGTTGAAATCGTTTTTTTGTTAATGGCAATACAATGATGCTGTCAACATGGTTTATCTTAGGAAAAAAAATTTTTTTTAATTTCTTTACAAATTTATATATTTCTTGTATATTTACAATTAATAATTTATCCTAAATTAGTACCACATTCGCATAAAATTTATTTATTCTTGTAATGAATTTATTGTAAAAATAATGTTAAACAACATCAGTAAGGAGCAAATTTATATATGTACTGAAGAAATTAGCGACTCATTTGTTAGCAGTAAAATTTAAAAGAATTTGTTAAATTTTCTAAATATTTGCTAGATTCGAAGTAACAATGAATCCGAAATTTCAATTAAATATGAAATTATTGAAAAATATCGAAAATAATATAAATCCCAAATGCTAAAGCGTTTATGGTGTAACGGTAAATATTCTCGGATTAAATCATAAATTAGTGTACAAAATTACATATTCTGAATGATAGAATATTTTACTGTGAAAAACATTTGTCGTATAATTTTACGTTGAAACTTTATACTTTCTCGTAAGATACATCTTGTATAATATGTTTCTATTTAAAAAATATAATTATTCTGATTTATTTATTATCAAACAATTTAATTTAAAAATGACAATTATTTTCTACAATAAAACAAACATACCATGTCCCCCATGCGCTATTTAGTATTTTATTTATATATTTCACAAAATTTAATAGAAATATTACAAATATTAATAATATTCGTGTTTAAAAGTATGTTATGTCAGATGCGTACCAACGTACAATTTTCCATTTAAAACAATAATAGTAGTAAAATTGTATAGAAAATGATTAGGATCAATGTATATACTATGCGAAATTATGAATATTTTATGGGGATGAAAATTTCTTTTCTATTTAGAAAGTATTTCACCTCGAACTGATTTATCGGCTTTATCGATGGTAATATTTAGTACTCCTCTTTAATAAAAAATTTAATGTATAAGCTTTAGTTTAATATAAAGTTCATGGGTAAGTTTAAAAATATTAATATTAATCGTTTATTAATTTAAATTTGAAATTTTTCTTTAAAATTATCTTTGAATAATAATTCACAACTATTATCTTCACGGATATTATTTATTTATATGCACGTGCTATAATAAATTCCACTCAGCCAACCGAAATGTGTGATGAAATGTATAAAATGTATAGAAAAGCTTATGATTTACTTATAAATAAAATTATAAACAATATAAAGATTTACTTTATATTAAGAAATCCAAAAATATGAACTCATTGATTTTTATATTAAACATATTGATTACTATATCCAAATTATGAAAATTTTAACAATAAATATAATTCAAGTGAATATATTATATTCTTTTGTTAAAACTCTCTTAATCTGAATATATAATTTTATATGTATTATATTTTATTGTATTTATATTTTGTTCTATAACCGAATAAAATTCAAAATATACAAAGGAATTACAAACAAAGCGATAAATATGCATACTATTATTTTTGCCTTTATTATAATACAGAATATAATATAATAGAAATGTAATAATAGAAACACAGTCATTCATATTAGAAATATTATTTTTAATTTTTCAAACATTTCTCATTTAAATCTCACCGCTCATTATCGATAAAATTAAATTATAACTTACAGTGTACATGGTACAGCCAACACTCAGTCATTACAATGTAAGTCGGAACGATATAAACAAACGAACAAGCATAATATGACAATAAATCCTTAAATAAGTATAGACCCAATAAGAAGAAGCATCAGTTGTAGATCTTTCAGTTATTCACATTCGTATTTTAAATTTAATTCTAATTTAAATGTTCCTATGTGAAGAAATTAAAGGAATCGAACATATTTATTTTATCGAAAATTCATATATTGAATAAATAAGCTTTAAATTTATCACAGTATAATATTAAAACAATTTAAACAAGCAATTATTTAACATCTTACGCATAACTCAAAATTATAAATAAATCAATTCTTATTGGAAAAAAAGGAATAATTGAGGTTATACACTTCATATTCAAACATAATTGAGTAAACGTGAATGTTATTTATCAAATAAAATTAAAGATACATTTATTTTCTAAAAGAATGTAAATTTCAATTAAATTATGAATGTATTGCTATGTTTATTTTTATATTATAATAATGTCGTTTTTAATGATTTTAATCTCCAACATATTATTAACTTAATGAGCAAATAAAATTAATTTACTATATGATTTAATTATATTTAAATATGTGAAAGTATATATAAGTATATGTAATAGAAAGAAAAAATTATTTATTAAATAATCCTTACAATAAATTAAAAGTATTGATAATTCTTAATTTGCATTTGAAATATAAATAACATATTGAAAAATGAGACGTATAGAAAATTTTATTACAAAAATTATTGTGAACGTTCAGCAATATTGTTAACAATGATTGTCCACCGAATTTAATGCTTTTTCAATAAAATACATTATCAAACTCTCCTAAAGTAATTAAAATAATTCAAACTATTTCGTAAAGCAATCCGTTGATACTGTAATTAACTTTAAAATATTAGTTCAGAAAAAAAAAATAATATTTTATAGTATCTTACAAAATTAGACTTAATGAAGCCTTAAGTAAGAATATGATAAAACCAAATACCATTTTATAAATACTATTTGATTGTTTGAATTTTTAAATTCTGAACTTTAGATTTTTAATTTTCAAAAACAATAATGAATCGTATATAAATTTAATTATAGTAATTCTACTAGATATAATTTTAAAATAATATATATTATTATTAAATTTGTATACAATTTTATTAATATTTTCTATTTTAGTTTAAATAACTGAAGGATTCTCAAATTTAATGTCAATATGGAAGTACCAGAAGATTTTCCCTTTCCTTTTAAACCATATCCAATTCAAGCAGATTTTATGAAAAATTTATATCTCTGCTTAGAAAATGGGCTTTTAGGTATTTTTGAGAGTCCTACAGGAACTGGTAAAACATTATCCATTATTTGTGGTTCATTAAAGTGGTTACTCGATCATCAAGAAAAACAAAAAAGTTGCCTAGTTAAGAAAGAAGTAGAACTTAATAATAAAATCAAAGAAATTGAAGCAAATAATGGAAGTGATTGGTTTTCAATGCAAACAGAAAAAATAGAACTAAATTTAGAGAAGCAAGTTATACAAAAAAAATTAAATATTTTATTAAAATGTGAAGAAAAAAATATAAAATACAAGCAATGTATAAAAGAGCATCAAGAAAAAAACAAAAATGATCAAAAATCTCTCAATACAAAGTGGAAAAATTCTAAAATGAGTGAAAAAAAGGAATCTCATATTAAAGAGGATGACGATGAATGTATAGATAAAAATTTTATTTTGAATGAAATTGATTGTTGCTCGGACACTTCAGAAGAAGAGGAGAATGAAGAAGAAATTGCTGAACAATGTAAAATATTTTTTTGCTCCAGAACTCATTCCCAACTTAGTCAATTTATTGGAGAACTTAAGAAAAGTCCATATTCTGAAAAAGTGTCTTTAGTATCTCTTGCATCAAGGTAAATCCAATTATCATCGATTAACATAGCTGATTTAAAGCAACTTTTAAAATTTTCAGAAATAATTATTGTATCAATGCAAAGATAAAATCGCTAAAAAATATTAATATGATAAATGAACAGTGTCAGTTACTACAAAAAAAAAAATCTACGTCCAAAAAAGAAAAACCAATTAAAAGGCAAAAAGTATCAACTTCGTGTCCATTTCTGCCGGGTAACCAATCACTTCTTATGGCAGAAATTTTAACCAGTATATGTGACATTGAAGAAATTGTAAAGAAGAGCGAAGAATTGAAAACTTGTCCTTATTATGCTACGAGGAAATCTGTTGAGGATGGACAAGTAATTTTAGTTCCTTATAATTCTATTTTGCATAAGCGTACTAGAATGAATTCAGGAATCAATCTGAAAGGCAACATTCTAATTATCGATGAAGCTCATAATTTATTAGACGCTATTGAAAGAATGCACAGTGTTTCTGTTACTGGAAAAAGTCTTTTACATTGCTTTAATCAATTATCACAATATAAAAAGAGGTGATTTATTAATAGAAAAATTATTTTATTTTTAGATTTGTTTGAATTGGTATTAAGCTCATTTTTTTTTTTTATAAAAATTTATGATTTAATTTATATGTGTAATTTAATTAACATTATATAGTGACAACTAATTATTAAGTTAATAAAATAATAATGCATATTTTATTTTACAGATTTGAGAATGTATTGACAGCTAAAAATGTATTATTTTTGAGTCAATTAAGCTTCTGCATTAAGAAATTAATTAAAATACTTGGCGGTAATGCAAAATCACATCCAGATGAGAAAATTAAAAACACTATTAATAAATTATACACAATAGAAGATTTCGAGACCGTAGCTGAAATAGATACTATAAATGTATTTGACTTAATTAATTTTATACAGAAGTCAAATCTAATTCATAAACTACACGGATATGTTGAAAAATACCAGAATATCCCAATAGTGAATGATACTGTTGAGAAGCAAAGAGGTGTTACTGCTTTTCTTAATTCATTTAAAAAACTAGATAATTCGAAAATAGAAGATAACCATAATGAGAGTCTCAAGAAATCAGAAACAGAACATATTACCAATCCTTTGACAATAATTATGAGTTTTTTGGAATCTCTTAAGACAAATTGTGTAGACGGCAGAATTTTTGTTGTATCAGAATCTACTATTGGCGAAGGATGTTTAAAGTTTCTTTTACTAAATCCAGCAGCACATTTTTCAGACATTGGTAAATGCCTCTTCCTTAAGGGAAAATTTTTAATTGACGGGATTTTTTAAATTCATTTTCTATGAAAAAAAAAAAAAAAAAAAAAAAAAACTGGAATAACAAATTATTTTAGAAGTAATTAAAAATTTTTTTTAATTTTTATATTTAGCAGTAATTAAAAATTTTCTTTTAATTTTTATATTCTTCAACCCTTTTTGTATGTCTTTTTGATATTGCAAAAACTATTAGATAAATTTTTTAGTTCAAGAGGCAAGAGCTGTAATTTTAGCTGGTGGAACAATGGAACCAATGTCTGAATTTAAAGAACAACTATTTATTAGCGCTGGAGCGACACCTGAAAGAATCGTTACTTTCTCTTGTGATCACGTAATTCCAAAAGAAAATATTTTAACTTGCATTTTAAAATCAGGTCCTACTGGACAAGAATTCGAATTTAATTATCAACATAGAGAAAATAGCGAAATGGTACATATATTTTAAATAAAATTTTGGCTTGCATTTAAATGTCTCGTTAATTTTACTTTTTTGCTATTATAGTTAAATGAATTAGGAAGAACATTAGTTAACTTATGTAATATTATACCAGCAGGTATTGTCGTATTTCTACCTTCATATAAGTATGAAGATTTATTATTTAAGCATTTGCAGTCAAGCGGAATCTTAACAAAAATTAGTAGAAAGAAATGCATTTTTCGTGAACCAAAATTATCAAACCAGGTACATTTTAAAATATTTATGATGAACGTTTTGTTAAATTATTAATGTTAATAGTTTTGCTTAAAAGGTTAATGAGATTTTAGAAAAGTATTCATGCAGTGTTAAAAATCCGGTAGAATTCCAAAATGGAGCAATACTTTTTAGCGTAGTTGGTAAATAATTTTATATTTATTTTAGTTTTTATTTAATACTTACCTCGTAATAATTAATTATTATTTAAGAAAAGTTTTGAAAAATATTATTATTATGAAGCCGCTACATATGATAAATTAAAATTTTTCCTTGCATTATTGAAAATTGTTCCCTAAAGATTTTATTTCAATTATTCAGGAGGTAAACTAAGCGAAGGTCTAAATTTCTCAGATGATTTAGGAAGATGCATTGTAGTAGTTGGCATGCCATATCCCAATATTAAATCATCAGAATTACAAGAAAAAATAAAATATTTAAACGAAAATGTTGTAAGTATACGATACTTGTGTTAAATGTTGAAAATATTTTTTAGTTTCCTTTGCAATCTTCCAATGTAAATTTAAGATAATTACAATATAAAATAAAATTTACATTATTCATATTACCCATATTTTACAAAGAATAATTTAAATATTAACAATTATATTCTCTTATAATGTGCAATCAGATTGCTAAAGATAAAACATTGAAAAAGAAAGGAAAATTTTCATGGTATTAAATCACTACAGAAATATGATTGTACTTATTGAAACCACACAAATTCATTGATTTCACAGAACCCAAAAGCTGGCAACATTTTCTATGAAAACTCGTGCATAAAGGCAGTGAACCAATGCATTGGACGAGCAGTGCGTCATGTTGCTGACTACTCAACGGTCTTACTGCTGGATAAACGCTATAGTCAAAAAATAGATGCCTTACCTAATTGGATACAAAGAACAGTCGCTGTGCATACAAAATTTAATACTGCTATACAAGCACTGGCAAGATTTTTCGTTGCAAAGAACAAATTAAAAACTTAAAGCCACATTATGTATGAATAGTTTTAGTCAATTTTGAAATCTTTTTCAATATATAGTATTGTAAATACTTTTTTAGGAAGCAATCGCTATTTATTTAATTTTTAAATTTCTTTAAAAATCTACAAAACTATGAATTTTTGTTAAAATCAATAAAAATGAATTTTTATATAATTTGCTTGATTTTTTGTAATAACTATCTACTACGATGCAATTTTTATATTAAAATCAATTATTTTTAATGACATATATATATATATATATATATATATATATCAATAAATAATTATATAGTTTTTTTCTGTCAAAATAATGTTAAAATTTTAAATTCAACGTACAGGGTTTTTCAAGATTTCAAGATATATTTTATGCAATCTCACTTCAATATTATAATGTCATTAAAATATGATAAAATATAACTGTTATATCCAAAAATTACTTATACAAATAGTTAAAATAAAAATTAGCGATAAAATAAATTTATTAACAATATTTATTTTTTCAATTTTATATTAAACATTAAGTTTGAAAATTCTAAAGAATAGTTATGAAATAATCAACCAGAGTATGAACTACATTACTTCTTGAGCTTCATATTTTTCAATTTTTATTCTTATTAATTGATTCATTCATACCGATACCTGTAATTGCAGATCTTATGTGTGATAAAATATTGTAAAATAATTATGTAATTTACTAATTACTTTATTACTTAACTTATTATTTTATTTTATTTTTTTTTTTTTTTTTGTTTTTTGTTATTCTATTTTAATAATTGAAAACATATTTTCAATTTGTTAAATAAATAATTAATATGAGATTACATATCAGTAATTTTAATTAATTAAAAACAACGTTTTCTTATTACAAGTATAAATGTATCTTTAAAACCACCTTCTTCTCATTAAATTTAGTACAACATTATTAAAAACTTGCATTGTAAAAGAAGGCTAATAATACACTTAATAAAAAAGAATTTAAATCACAATTTTATGAATAATATCCATATATTTTGCACTCAAATTGCCAATACATAATTAGTACAATTATTAATTATAATTTGTAACTCGATTGACAATCAAATTATTAACCTCTATTACACGTATTACATTTATAATTTCAATTGTTTGACTAAAAATTCCATATAAAATATTTAAAATGCTTCTTAAAATACGATTTTCTTTTAATGTTAATTTTCAAAAAAAGAAAAAATTCATTTTATTTGTACAATATACGCGAACTCTTGTAATTGTTACGTTTGAAATTAAACTTTTATACAGAATTAAAATGATATAATATATTACTTTATTTAAAATTTTAATTTCTCAAAAATTATTCAAATAATATTCAAATAATATCATTACAATAATAATCATATATATGGTTAATTATATGATTGAACAACGGAAATTAGCCATTATGCAAGTAATAGATATATCATAAAAACCTTAAATCAATTGATTGAAACAAATTGTTTTATCATATATTCTTTAACATTCTCAGCAAGATAAAACAAATGTATGATGAAAGTACCTTGAAATTTATTACAACAAATTATCTCTTCGGACATAGTCTCATATTCCAATTGAATCGTAATCTTTGCAAAGACAAATACAATCTTTCTTAATTAATGCAAATACACGCGCGGAATATAAGAAAATGAAATACTGCAAAACTATAGCAAATGTTATAAAACATATTTATAAATAATAATGAAATTTTTATTTATTTTAGTCTGTTTTAATCTGTTACAAATCATAATATAAAATATTTGAAAATAATTAAATATAATAGTATATATTTAGTTTAAATTTAATTCTCTATATATATTATTAAAAGTATATCGTATTATGATGTGCTTCGATACAAATATAATAATACACGGACTTACATTATTTTACATTTTATATAGATTATATGATTAAAATATTTTTATATGTTATTAATTATATATATATATATATATATATATATATTATATATATATATTATATATATATATATATATATATGTTATACTAATGGAGTAGTGCATTTGGGATATCTTTATATTCAATCATTTTAATGAATATCTATCTTTTTTTATATTTACCAAACATTACATATTACACTTGATAATAGATAAAATTAGAAAATAATAAAAGTCAAATTTATTTCAAAGAAATATTTTCTTTATAATCGTATCGAGTAAATTGATAATTTGCTATAGTTTCTACCGAATTCGCGTTGCTTATATTCCGAGCGTCCCAGCTAAAATATCACTATGTATGTTTAGCTTCAAGAGAAAAAGTAACTTTTAGATGTTGAATAATTTTTATGAAATTTTGACAATTAATAGTATCGGGAAAAGTTAAAAATGTTTTATAAAATTTTGGTGATTATTATTTCTTTTCAGTCCATTTCTCTTTGGTATGTTAATTTGTTCTATTCTAACAATATTAAAAAAAAAAAATTTTTTTTAATGTTATGTAATTAAAATATTTTATAATTAATTGATAAAACATTAAATACTTACAGAATAACGATATTAACAAACAACAAAATTAATAAAATTCATAAAAACGAATATTCGTTCATTCGTCACATGATAAACAACAAATCAGCTTAAAAAACAATGCTTACATTGTAACAAAATGAGTTTATTCTGTTTTAACTTGAAAACATTTCATTTTCTTGTCCAATAGCATGCATTTAAAATGAAATTATAATCTTGATTTTAACGTATATGGATTATCATTTTAAAATAATTCTATTGTTTCTTAGTGTAAGTAAGAATGTCGTTCACGTAGAAGATTATTTATTCTATTAAGACAAAAATCAGACAAGTAAAGTAATTTTTTAGTTTTAAATATTATAACATTTTGAAATTTTATAAACGAAAAATAAATCAATATTAATAAATAAACAAATTTTAAAGAATATAATTAACCTATAAATAATGAAATGATCTATAAAATTAAACAATTTATTAAGTAAATTACAATTATAAATTTTACAATAAAATTTTAATATATGATTGATTAATGTGAGGTAAGTATGAAATTCAAGTGTGAAATAAACAAAGAATTATCGCTTATTCACTCTTATAGATGATAAAAGTTATTTTAAAAAAATTTTATTTATTTATGTTAATTTAAAAAATTAATTTAAAATATTAAAATATAAAATATTAAAATAGTTCTTATATTATCAAGTCATAACAAATTTTATTATTGTTGGATTTGTAATTTTTCTCATAAATAACTATTGTTAATAATTTTTCAAAGTTTTATTTTTTTTTTAAATATTAAATATTTTCAATGTACTATAATGCGACACATGTATACAAAAAGAAGTAAAGTAAAATTGCAACTAATGATAAAAATAACTCAAAACATTGTATACAATATGTATGACATAATACAAAATATTAAAAAAAGAAAAACAAAACATTATCAACTGCAAGTAAAAAACAAAACCATCATAAATGTATAAATAAAACTTAAAGAACATAAATACTAAAATTATAAATTATGTCTGATTGAGCTATAAAAAAAATGTAATTTTATCTGTAAATTATTAGTTTATTTATCGAAAATTCATAATTTATATATGCTTTATATAAATATTTCACAGCTGATCTAATTTATTTCTAAATTCTAGCAACAAATTTTAATATAAAAATAGTAATGGTTCA